GCCCTTAATGGCCAGCTATATCCTTAATAACATGTATTGCTTTGGGAATTTGTTCAAAATGATGAAGATTAGCAACAGTAATAACTCGGCTGTGATTCTGCTGATAGGATCCTTCATGACATTATTAATATATTATACGGAATTGATTAATGCTCAATATTACTTCTCTCCGGTAACTCCAAGATGTTTCATAGGACCCTATAGAATTACATTTAATTGTTCTGTGCCTGTTTCGTTTGGTTATTCATCAGTGCCCAATACCAAGTATAATACCTCATCTAATTTTAAATTAATTAACTATGGAAAAGGTGTGAGCAATTTCTTATTTGATGTAAAAAGTTCTTCGGGTTATTCTGATGGTGACTATTTCACTTTTATAGGAACAAGTCCATTCACGATTGCCTGGGCCATTCAGCCTGCATTCTATGATCTTATTCTTACAAACAAGATTTGGGATGAAACTATTGACCCGAATGGATTTGCTAGGTTTTACACTGAAGATTTATTGGATCCGAAACTGTCACAGAACACTATCTATATTTCAACAAATGATGAGGATTTTACATTGAATATTGCCTTCACATGGGATGAAACTGAAAAGCCAACCTATACAGCTCTTCTCATTTCAGAGTCAACCATCTTTCCGTATTCTCTTAGTATTCCTTCATCAGCTATTTGGGAAGGTAAAGCTCCTGTATTTATTCATATGAAATGTGCCTCTCACAATCCATGTAATGTAAGGCTTGGTTTTAATACAGACTATTCTAACTCTGGCACGGGGATAGTTGCAATAATATTGGTGCTATTGGGACTTTGTCTTTGTTGTGCATGTTGTGGAATAGGTTGTTGTTGTATTGTTAAAGTAAGAAGAATAACAATGAGAGGGATTGCTACTAATCCTGCAGAGAAGTATCAGACAGTTATTGTAGTGGGACAGCAGGCTTCTCCACCACAAATAGTTTACAACATGCCAATCCAAGCTCAGTATTATCATCAAAAACCACATGTTGATGAGAACCAGCATACATCTGTTGCCTTGGAACCAACACTAAATTATATTATACCTCCAAATTCTGATTCAGTTGTGTATCATTCGAATTCGAATGCAGTGGCTAATTAAAATTCAAAAAAAACTATTTAATATTCTTTCTTTTTCAGTAGACGACACATTTTGAGCTAAAGAAGGATGTTCTTCATTTCTAGCTGCTCTTACATTATATTTCGTTTAGGATTCTAATATTGGAGTTGGTCCAAAGCCTCATATGAAGTTGTTGTGATTTCAATATATCAAAGCAAAGTATTTATAATATCAAAAATTTCGCGGTCTACAGGATTCGAACCTGTGCGGGTCACCCCAATTGATTTCTAGTCAATCACCTTAACCACTCGGTCAAGACCGCTTCTCCCTTATTGCAATTATTAAGGGAAGCCATTATGGTTCCTAAATATATTCCTTATTAATTATGACACAACAGAATATAAAACCATTTTTAAGAAACTCCTATCAACCTCTTGAACATAAATGTGCAATCACCCGCTCTTGAAAATCCAAATGCAAGTGCCTCCACTAACACACAAGAAGCTTCCCATTCCATTTGTTTATAATTCATTTCCTTAGCTTTTTGTATGGCTTTCCAATAACCATCTATCCCTTTCCTCTATATTCCTCTCAATACATTTTTCTCAATTCTCATTTTCTTTCAGATAATTTATAAATTCCACAACAGGCAATAATTTTTGATTCAATGGATGATATGAAGAATTAGAAAGAGGTTGTTTAAGTATTGCGGAAAACACTTTGGATCTTTCTAGAAGTTGGTATTAGGAAAATTATTATTTTGGATAGCGTAAAGGTGATTAGATTTCAGTGAGGTAAATGTGTTGACAATCTTTTACAATTCATTTTACAATTGAAGTTACCATATCTCTAAAAAGGTTTTTGAAGTCAAGTTGCTTGTTGACCTTCATATTTTGTAAACAAGTCATTCACCCATCAACTCTACTTGAACAAATCATTTATCCTGTCATCACACATTTCTTATTTAAATCACATCCCGATAATGACATTATTCACAAACAAAAAAAACAAACTCTCAACATGTCCTTCTGTGAAGACGTTCAAGCCCTCGTTGTTGACAACGGTTCTGGTATGTGTAAAGCTGGTTTTGCTGGTGATGATGCTCCAAGAGCTGTCTTCCCTTCAATTATTGGTAGACCAAAGCAAAAGTCCATCATGGTTGGTATGGGTAATAAGGATGCCTATGTTGGTGATGAAGCTCAATCAAAGAGAGGTATCTTGACTTTGAAGTATCCAATTGAACACGGTATTGTTACCAATTGGGATGATATGGAAAAGATTTGGCATCACACTTTCTACAATGAATTGAGAGTTGCTCCAGAAGAACATCCAGTCTTGTTGACTGAAGCTCCTTTGAATCCAAAGGCCAATAGAGAAAAGATGACTCAAATTATGTTTGAAACCTTCTCAGTTCCAGCTATGTATGTTGCTATTCAAGCTGTCTTGTCCTTGTATGCTTCTGGTAGAACTACTGGTATTGTTTTGGACTCTGGTGATGGTGTTTCTCACACTGTTCCAATTTATGAAGGTTATGCTTTGCCACACGCCATTTTGAGATTGGATTTGGCTGGTCGTGACTTGACTGATTATTTGATGAAGATTTTGATGGAAAGAGGTTATTCATTCAATACTACTGCTGAAAGAGAAATTGTCAGAGATATTAAGGAAAAGCTCTGTTATATTGCTTTGGACTTTGAAGCTGAAATGAAGGTTGCTGCTGAATCATCCTCAGTTGAAAAGTCATACGAATTGCCAGATGGTAATGTCATTACTGTTGGTAACGAAAGATTCAGATGTCCAGAAGTTTTGTTCCAACCTAATTTCATTGGTATGGAAGCTGCTGGTGTTCATGAAACTACTTTCAACTCTATTGGTAAATGTGATATTGATATCAGAAAGGATTTGTATGGTAACGTTGTCTTGTCTGGTGGTACTACCATGTTCGAAGGTATTGCTGAAAGAATGACCAAGGAATTGACTGCTATGGCTCCTGCCTCAATGAAGATTAAGGTTGTTGCTCCACCAGAAAGAAAGTACTCTGTCTGGATTGGTGGTTCCATCTTAGCGAGCCTTTCTACCTTTCAACAGATGTGGATCACAAAGGAAGAATATGAGGATGCCGGTCCAGGTATCGTTCACAGAAAGTGTTTCTAAATTGGAACTTTGTATAGTCAACTGTCGAGCTCTGTAAAAATAAATCTGTAATTTAAATGAATTTTTCAAAAATGACTTGATTTTTGGAATCTCCATGGTTTGTTTGGTGGGCCCAGATGTTTGAACCTTTTTAAATTGTCAAGAAATTAGCGGTGGGGAAGGCAACGATTGAAATTAGTATAAATGAACACCTCAAAAGGTTTGGTTTGGAATTCGAGTTGACTTATTTGGGTTATTTAAGATATTACTTAGTGAAGATTGATTATCATTGATTGTATTTTTATGATCTATTAATGATGTAAATTTGAAGGTTTAATTTCTTGTCGGCTTTTCCATAAATCTGTTTGGCGACCACTGAGATAATTTGATGTTACCATTTCTAAGCTTAGTAACATAACCCACTTGAGTCTAGCTAATTCACCTGGTCTAGCGAAAAGTCTGAAACCAATGACTAACATGGCACTGGTGAGTTTGAAAATGAAAGGATCATAATGATCTTTTCTTTGAATAAAACCTTCAATATGATGATAGAAAATTGGGTCACATTTCAAAGCTTTTCTATCAATTCAAGGACCAAATAATAGTAATTCCTCTTTTAATCTTGTCATAAGACCATGAAATTGGAAAAACTGTTCTCTCAATATTGGCCCAAAATTGTGTCTAATTCTGATCGAAGTGAAGAATGGACTTGTTTTCATTGTAAACTTAATAAAATATAAGTTGAGGTAAAAGCTCACTCAACATATTCTTCATCCAAATGGTATGTTGCTCAGAAATGCTGCTTTTTGGGTCATTGTACTTTATTTAGCATTGTCCCGAGTTAATATAGTTGTTTACAAAATCGAGATTGAAGTAGAACAACTCCCCTATAAAAAACCTGCATTGCAGGAAAAAATCGGTAAAAACTCCAATCCATTAAAGTTCTCTATTTTAATTCTTCCTCGCAACTCTACATATTTCTCCAAAAGAAACAATAAAACAATCGTTGATAAACCAATGGGTTCGTCCAGAGAAAATAAGGTGTCTGTGAAATTCTTGCTAGCAAGACCCTCAGATCGTAGATAAGGAAATAAACTGTTGGTTTTCTTATGTCTTGCACCAACCATGAGATCTGAAGTAGAAACACCTTTTCTAAGTCCTTCTGTGATGGCTCCAATTAGGTTTTTTCTTTTATTAGGGTTATTGGGCAAAGACTTGGATTCTTTGTATTCTTATCAATAGTAATTGGCTTTTCAATAAGGAAGAAATCAGTTTTGTGACCACTGAGGTCAATTTTGATTTTATCATTCTTGAGAACCTTGATAGGACCATTTAAGCGCGCA